CTTCCTGCCCCCGAGGGGGCGCTGCAGCCCGAGGAAGGGGGACCCAGGGCCCGCGCCAACGCCCCGGGAGCCTGAGGGCCCAGGCCGGCGGGTCAGCGGTGCGCAGAAGCCTGGGGGCGGGGTGGGGAGTGGAGGGGGTGGGGGGGTGTGCTTGGCCGGTGGGTGTTGGATGCCAGCTTCTCCCAGAGCAGTGGGGGTCCCTGGCGGGCTGCCCCCCCAAGGTCCTGGGGTCCTGAGTCTCGGCCCGGAAAGAGGGCGCGGTCCTCTTAATCTCTGCACAGATACGGTTTCTGTGGTGAGGGATGGCTGATAGCAAAGCAACGCGTGCTTGCTGTGCCCAGATCGGGTCGCGTGTCAACCCAGAGTAAAGGAGACACGTTGAAACAAAACACGCATTTGTGCCTTGGAATGGCTAGTAATTGTCCGTCATTCATGCATCTAACATGCCTTTGGGCCTGCATTTTTTTTTAAGATTTATTTAAAAAAAAAAAGATTTATTTTGTGATGCATACAGAACTGGGGTACAGGCCAGAGGTGCAGGGGTAGTGAGAGGATTCACCAGAGACAGAGTGGGGAGCAGAACAGGCCGACTGACAAAGTCCACTGCTGAGGGGAGCAGCAGGGAGACAGGAGAGGTCTGCCGGGCCCTCTGGGTCACCCCCCAGCAGGGATCGAACTTGTAAGGAGCAGGCAGCGGCCAGCTGCAGTGCTGCGTCCTTACCTGTTGCGCCACCAGGGCGGCCCCACTGTGTCACTTTCTGACCGACTTCCCTTGGTATGAGCACCTCAGGGCTCATCCACCTTGCTCCATCGAGTACTACTGATCTCTTTAAACAGCTGTTTTCTGTCACCTGCCAATGGACACCTAGATTAGTTCCATGACTTGGCTGTTGTGGAGAACGCTGGTATAAGCAGAGATGTGTATGCAACGTTAGCGTCATTATGTTACAGGGTAGCTCAGAGTGGCCTGGGCCGCCTGTCTGTGGGGCCTCACGGTGCACTCACCCGTGAGCTCACAATTCAGTTACACTGCAGGGACACCCAGAAGGGTCAATAAGGGGTTTATTTACAGAAGGGGAAAGGAATAGAAAACAACTCACGGAAAGAGAGCCGGATACAAAGTAACTGCAATACCTTATGGCTAGGCTGACTGCACATACTAAATCATGGGGACCAGAGAGCTGCTTCCCCAGGGAGAGAGCCAGAGGGAGAGAGAGAGAAGCAATCACACCCTATTTATCCCCCCAAATGTCCCAGAATTCCTGCTAGCTCCACCCTTGGGTCCTCGCAGTTCTCTCCCTGGTGCTGCTGGGAGTTGTAGAATCCCTGGAGTAGGGTGTAGGGTCCAGAAAGCTGGAGAAGGGGGTGGAGTCCATAAGACTGCAGAGTTCCTTTAGGACATCCTTCCCCTTAAAATTATAACCTGTAAAAAGTTAGTTTTCAGAGATACAGTGAGGAGAAACCCGTGGGGATTACAATTGAGATGAAAAAAAAATGTGAAAAATGATGTAAAAATAAACTTTTTAATAAAAAAAAAAGTTAGTTTTCAGATTTACAATGGGCACATTTTCGTTGCTGTTATTAAAAGGATCAATTTCTTTTTTTTTTAAGATTTAAAAAATTTATTTATGCATACAGAAATGGGGTATAAGTCAGAAGTACAGGGGTGGTGAGAGGATTCACCAGAGGCAGAGCGGGGAGCAGAACAGGCAGATGGACGAAGTCCACTGCTGAGGGGAGCAGCAGGCGGGTCAGGAGAGGTCTGCGATGTGGGTCACCTCCAGGGTTGGGGATTGGCTGCTAGCTTGCAGTGCTGTGTTCTTACCCGTTGAGCCACCAGGGAGGGCCCTAAAAGGATCAATTTCTAAAGAGCAATGCATCATATAAAAGGGAGCCCGAGGACCTGGGGCAGCAGCTTGGGAGTGGCCATGGGTGGTGTGCGGAAGGACAGTTTGGCTCACGCTTTGGACACAGCGTTTTGGGTTCCCACTCCAGTTCTAGGAGCAGGGACAGGAGGGGCTGGCTTTAGGGTGGCTGTGCGGGTTACGGGGATGGGTGGCTGTGTCGGGTACTTACGTCTGGCGCATGGCCTCCACCTGCTTGGCAGCCATTTCTTCAAGTTTCTTCAAGTAGGAAATTTACTTCTATCCAGAGCACGCAGACGGAGCCGTGCCATTCTGGAAGGAAGTTTTCCGTGGGCAATTATGAGATGAATATTCTTTAGACTTCCTGTCTATGACTACTTAACACACCAAGAAGTATGTAGCTTAACACACCAAGAAGTATGTAGAGCTTTCTGTTTTATTAAATCATATTTGGAGAAAATAGTGTGCTCATGGCAGTCTCTATGGTGTGAAAAAATAATTTGATAAAAATAATACATACAGTAGAAGTTTTCTAAATACAGAAAAGTAAAACAACCCGATCTTTGTTGGTTTTTAAAAACTCTGTAATTGCTAGTGACTGAAATTTGGGGGCTGTGAATGACCTTCACTAAGAGCGTGATTGCCGGGGTAGTTGTTTGCCTTTCGAGGGACTGATCAGCTCGGGGAGAGTAACTTTAATCATTCCTGCTGATGAAAGTGAATTTGAGCTCCCCCAGGGGCCAAGGCGTCCCCACGCCTAGCAGGCACCCCCACAGGAGGGGACCCCACAGGAGGGGACACCCAGCAGGCACCCCCACAGGAGGGGAGCAGCCCAGGAATTGTGGGGGTGGAGAAAGGGAGGATGGGCTGGTGTTGGAAACTCCCCTGCGATCAGTGTCACCCTCTTCAAGAGTGGCAGGGGATTAAAAAAAAGCTGAAAGGGAGCAGCAGAGGGACCTAAGAGACCAAGTCCCGGGCTGTCTGCTCCTAATGCTCTGGAGCTTGACGGTGCAAGGTGCAAGCAGTCGCAAGAATTCGGTGATTAGCATTTGAACTTACTAGGCTTTGGAATGCTCTGTCTTTGGACACAATCCAATTGTCCGTCTGTACAATAAGCAAGAGCACAGAGCCCTGTGCAAACAGACCATTTGTTTCCCAGCTCTTGATGGCACAAGAGAAAGTGCTCGTTGGGGTCTTGGGTCTCGGGCCTGCCTCAGGGTCTGGGATGTCAGTTGCTGTCTTTAGGGCGACAGGTGGGAGAGGGAGACACCCAACAGAGACCGCCCCTAAAGGAGCCAGAGTATCGAGTGACGCTCACTGGCTTGCTGTTTACAAACCGGCCAGAACATTTTAAAGAAGAGGCCGCTTTCTTATTTATCTAGCCGCCTCGGGACTCCTCCACTGTTTGCCAAAAGCCGCGAGGCCCCCTCCTGGACTGAGCCTCTGGGCTCTTCCAGGTCCCCAGAGTTTAGTTTCGCCCTCCCCCTTTCCTCCGCGCCCCCCTCCCCAGCGGCACCCCCCCAGCGCTCTGATTGGTGCGCGCACAGCCTGGCCTTATAGGGACTGAGCCGGCGTCCGCGGTGCTAAGGGACAGGGTCCAGCGCCGCTTTTATCAACCAATCAAATATTTTCCTGACAGATCCCAAAAACTCCGAGCCAATGGAGGGGAGAGCGGGCGCTCCCCCCTTCGCCCCCTTTCCTCCCGGGGTCACGCTGGGGACTGGTGCTGGACGCTCCCTCGCAGGGGTGTGCAGGGGGGAGTCCTCTTTCCGCCGATCGAAATGGTTATCAAAGTGTTTGTGGCCACATCTTCTGGGTCCATAGCGGTAGGTGTCCGGGGGAGTTGCGGGGCTTGCTTCCTGAGCTATTTTCGGAGGAACGCAGTGGACAGGGCAGGAGCCGCTTGGCCAGCGCTGGCCTTCATTTTCTCTCGGGGCCCTCTGTGAGTCTCTCCCGGCTCTGACATGCCCTTGTTTGCTTTAATGGTGTTGAGGGAAGGTTTTATAAAACGTGTCCTACAGATGGGGATGGCTGGATGGGGAAGGGAGGAGAGGCTCAGGGGGTGCTTGAGACTAAATATTTGAACGCGTGACTTGTACTTTAACAAGTAACCGGTGCTGGCTATATTGTAGAATCGGAGGCGGGTGTGTGCTTTGGCCATTCATTCTGTAAGACTTAGAGTGGCAGAGCGGTGACGCTTTGCGTCGCACTTGCATGGGGACAGCCAGGGCACTGGACGACTCCCGCAGAGTCACCTGCGTGTGCAGTGTGACGGTGCCCAAACTTAGCGCGCGGAATAATGCCATTATTTGAGGAAAATGATGTCACAGTGACAAGAACAAACACGTCTGAGGCCACAGTTTTACATAATCTAGGAATTCAAGCAGATCCGAGCTAGGAGCTAGACAAGCCTGCCCTGGGCCCTGGGAACGGGGCTTTGTCACAGTCCGCAGAGCCCAGAGTCACCACCGCCTGGCGGCTCCTGCCGGCTGCTGTGCGATGCAGACCTCCTGAAGAAACAGGTCACAGTGACTCCCTCCCCCTTGGACAGGGTTCAGGCTGTGATTCTTGCCTGGGGCCGTGTCTGGGATTGGCTGCACCAGCAGAAGTTAGGGAGGCCGTGGACAGAGAGCACTTATGCACCTCAAGAGTGGGAGACCTGCAGTGGGTTGTTTCCTTTTATATTCCGGCCCTCGCCCATCTCGGGTAGCAGCTGGGGTGTCTCCAGTTACTGGTCAGCCTTGGGTACGTTGGGGCCCATCAGGCTGGGGAGCAGTCCCTGTGGCTGACTAAATACTGTGGTCCCAGCTTGCTTGACAGACAGAGCGAGAAGAAATCGGGAGAAAGGAGCCTGGTTGTCTCATCAGAGCCAAGCTAGCTGATCAGCGACTGACTAGACCATCTTCGAACAGGGAAAGACGAAGAGGAATTCCAGAAGTAAAAGTGCAGAGATCTTTTGTGGCTGCTGATGACCTCAGCACCTTTACTTATGTGCATGAGCACACGTTTCTGGATTACTCCGATGACCTGTAACGTGTTGGGGAAAGTTCTTTGCTTCTGGGTACAGCTGTGCTGGTGCGCTCACTGGCTTTGAAAGCCTCATGGCTTCTGTAGCCTCCTGCCCGCTGCGCCTTCCTGAGGCAATGAAGGAACTCGAGGCTTCCTAGGGTTACTTGATATGCTGCATTTTTGAAGGTTGACAGCAGCATCTACTTGGCTGTGCAGGATCTCGGCAAAGCCAAGTTCATTCTGGTTCCCTAAGCAAATGTTTTGGGGCCACTTGGGATTCTGTGACCTTGGGAAAGTCATTCCACTTTTCTTTTTCTTTTTTAAAGATTTATTTATCCATCATACAAGAACTCGGGTACAGGCCAGGGTATAGGGGGGTAGATGGGTGAGAGGATTCTCCAGAGGCAGAGTGGGGAGCAGAGCTGGCAGATTCACTGAAAGACTGCCGAGGGGAGCAGCGGGCGAGAGCGGAGAGGCCTGCTGTGCTGGGGGTCCCTCCCTGGCCGGGGATGGAACTCGTGCTGCAGGGGCTGCCATAGTTTGATAGTGCTGAGACTTAGCCCCTGTCACCATCATTTCACTTCCCTAAGCCTTAGTTTCCTTGCCTGTAAAACGAGGACCCTAACGGTCCCCATCTCATGTCATGAGGACTTCAGAAATCCGGGAGGAAATGGGGTGACCCACGTGACGTCCGTGATTAACCAGGTTCAACTGGCACTGGAAGTATTAGCTAGCGTTACAAGCAAAAGCTGCTTTTAATATAACTAAGTTGAAAACTAATAATTGATATTGTTGTAGTTATAATGATTACTTCATAGGGATAGATGTAGTTTACAAAGATTACATGAACGGAAGAGTTTCTGTCGCATCCTAACAAATCAAAACCGGCCAGCCCGCTGTGTCGTTGCTGGTGATGCTTCCTGGGAGGCGGATTTCACCAGAAGCTTCTCTGCGGAGAACCCAGCGGCCGCAGCCTTGTGCTGCCTGGGCAGCGCTCAGTCCGCAAACCATGCACTTGCTTCTGCAGCCAGATACTTGGGATCGCTCAGCCCAGGAGCTGGCATGACCTCTGTGGGATGCAGGAAGTAGGTGGAAAGGAACAACGAATTGTCACTTCTTTGGGGGCCCCCACGTTCCCAGCAGGGACAGGCGGAGCCCCTGGCGGCTTCTTCAGGACGTTACAGTGACCTCGCAGAAGGCTCCCAGCTGTGCAAGACAACAGCAGGAGGGGCCAGCGAGCTGCCCAGAGGTCAGGGCGCACGCGAGGGAAGCCGGCTGTGGTGCCAGGAGGCTGGACAGAGTGACGCCCAGCAGCAGAGGGACAGCCCCGCAGAGGTCTCAGAGACCCCAAATAAGGCAGCGGACCCCAGGAGCCCAGGTCTTTCAGGGCTGTCCAGAAAGAGGGTACAGCCTGGGCGCCACATTGGCCAAGGCACCCTGGAATGGGGGGGCAGGAGGGCGGAGCTGGGTCCTGTGTTGCCCCGGGGGTGCCCCAAGGGCACCCCTTCCCTGGAGCCATGAAACAAAGTCTGGGGAAGGCTGTGGTCCCTGCAGCTCAGCCCAGGAGGCCCATAGGGAAGGGTCACCGGGCTCCCCTAACAGGGGCCACCAGGGGGAGGCCCCCACCGAGGTGAGCGGCACAGTGGGCGGGGACCAGACCGAGGCTGACCCCCCCTGCAGTGGGGTGGGGAGGGGCCCCCCTCACCCTGCAGTGGGGTGGGGCGGGGCTGGCCCTCAGACCTTCTCCAGCCCAGGCCCCAAACCGGGGAAGCAGCCCATGTGCTACTGTGCATTGATTTCTTTTTACATTTAATTTTTAAAATCGAGGTGACTTTAGTTTATAGTGTTGTATAGTTTCCAGGCTTACGGCCTCTCGCCCCAGCGGCTGTGTCACTGGACTCCCCCAAATTCCATCACCACCCAGCACCCACCACCCCTGTCTACCTCCCCTTCTTCCTCTTGGGCACCGCCACCTGCCGCCAGTATGGCCTAGTCTAAGTCACTGGTTGTCTGGGGGGTGGGGGGGCGCGATTTGATTCCCTGGGGGGCTGGGGGCTGGGGGCAGCCATGGGCACAGAGAGCCACGCAGGCCCCCACACCCCTCTCCTGCAGCTCCCTGCTTCCTTCCAAGAGGACTGCAGGGCCCATCCGCGCTTCCCACGCGCTCAGAGGCTGAGGAGGCCAGGGACGCTGTGGGTCGCGGGAGGGGAGCAGCGCTGGGACCCGCGTGGCCCCCGCGTGGCCGAGCGCTGGACCTGGGCCAGCTTGCTGGGCTGGGGGGCGTGAGAGAAGTGGGGACGGAATGGAGATGTTGCCTTCTGAACACTCAGAGGGGAACCCGCTTGAAATAAAGACGCCCGACCCCTGGAGACAGTGGGCTCTGAAAACGCGAGATGTGTAAATGGCACCGAGCATGGCGGCGGGCTGGGAAGTGACGTGACGCAGAGAACCCGATGAACAAAAAGGGTAATTTGACCCCGGAAGTTTCCAGCCCCCACACTTTTATTTTTTGTCCCTGCTCGCCTAAGACCCGATTAAGCACCACATCGCAGCTGGCAGCGTCTTCAGTAGCTTGATTTAATGCTCTGGTTGCAGTATCTTTGTTATGTTGATGGTACAAGTGTTAAGCAGGTGTATAAGTGCTTTTTATATGTGCATATGTCATGTATATATAGAAAATATTTATGTTTAGATTTTATCTACTATCCATTCATATGTTTATTTTTGAGGTTGTATAGAGAAGTCACAATGGACAGACATTCTACATAAATTCTTGATAAGCATAATTATACACAGACATGTTCATGGTACCGCTATTAATTAAAAACGAAGTGTGTGAGCATCCTCCCTGGTGGTGCAAGAGGTTAAAGTGCAGCACTAAGAAACTAGAAGCTCGCTGCAGCCCCTTCAACAGGAGTTTGATTCCAGTCCCTGAGCTGACCACAGGGCGCGGCAGACCTCTCCTGTCTCCCTGCAGGCCCCTCAGCAGTGTATTTTGTCAGTGGCCTGTTCTGCTCCGCCCTCTGCCTCTGGTGAATCCTCTTATACTCCCCCACCTCTACCCGTACCCTAGTTCTGTATATATATAAAAAAAGAACAATTGTTTACAGAAGAATAAGAATTAAGTGTGTGATTACCACTTATGTGTTTGTACAATTTATAAACAAAAAATATTTTATATTTTCTAAGATTAAATATTTTAGTATTCATTTATATTATAATGCAAATACTATAGACACCACTGAAGGCAATTTCTATGTAATTTACTTTTTTTTGGATATCGTTATTTATGCATACAAGGACTGGGGTACAGGCCAGAGGTTCCGGGGCTGAGAGGACTCCCCAGAGACAGATGGGGAGCAGAACAGGTAGATTGACTGAAACACCTGTTGAGGGGAGCAGCAGGTGGGTCAGGAGAGGTCTGCTGCATCCTGGGGGTCACCCCTTGGCCAGGGCTTGAACTCGGGCTGCAGTGGCTGAGGACAGCTTCATAGTGCTGTGCTTTAATCCCTTGCACCTCCAGGGAGGTCCTCAGATTAAAATTTCAGAATTTAATTCACTCTTTTATCCTTCATAATGAAGCACTTCTTTATAATGGACACATGTGATTTCACTGTGCTCCTTACTGAAAAATTTAAGAAATTATTTGTGTTCCACGAGAGAGCTGGAGAAAAGATTTCATATTGACACAATATTTTTTCAAACAATCTAGTAATGATCTTTCTCTGTTCTTGAACAGATTAGGAAGAAACAGCAAGAGGTTGTGGGCTTTTTAGAAGCTAATAAGATCGACTTTAAGGAGCTAGACATAGCTGGCGATGAAGACAACCGGAGGTGGATGAGAGAGAACGTCCCTGGGGAGAAGAAACCCCAGAATGGAATTCCGTTGCCCCCCCAGATTTTCAATGGAGAGCAGTATTGTGGGGTGAGTATCTGGGTTCGTGGCAGTTTCTGTACGTGTGTGTGTCAGAGACAGTTTGAGGCAGCTTTGAACATGCTTCACAATCTCCACAGTCAGCTGACTGGCCCCCACCTGGCTGGCAGACCGCGGTGAGCACCAGTAGTTGTGGTAAAAGCATAAAGGTTGAACATTTCGATGAGCTGCAGTTTCAGCAGGGGATTACTTTCAGTTCCTTATTTTGTGTTGAACACACTGAGGTCATTCATTAGAACAGAAGCGTTTTCGCTGGGAAGGAATTCTCATCTCGCTCACGGGTTCGGGGTGTGCACTCTGTGTACATAGCAACCGTCGCTCACGGATTCGGGGTGCACACTCTGTGTACATAGCAACCGTCGCTCACGGGTTCGGGGTGCGCACTCTGCGTACATAGCAGCCGGGAAGGCAGACTTTAGCAGCGGGGTCCTGCCATCCGCGCAAGTAAACTATCTCCGTAGTTTAAAAATGGTCACAGTGCCATTTTATTTTATACATTTAATAGTTCAGTTCACCATAAAATCACTTTTTTTTTCAGAGTATATTGGTTCTACTTAGTAAATCCAATTGTTGAAACAGTTAAAAACTCCAAGGAGGCCCTCCCTGGGGCGCAGCGGGTTAGAGCACAGCACTGAGAAGCTTAAACCACTTCAGCAGGAGTTTGATCCCCCCCTGCCCTGGAGGTGACCCACAGGGCGCGGCAGACCCCTCCTGACCCGCCCGCTGCTCCCCCCAGCAGTGTACTCCATCAGTAATCCTGTTCTGCTCCCTGCTCTGTCTCTGGTGAATCCTCTCACCACTCCCCACACCTCTGTACCCCAGTTCTGTATGCTTAAATAAATAAAATATATATTTTTAATAAATAAAATAGTATTAAAAAAAACAACTGAAAGGGGCTTTAGAACACGAGAGCTGGATGTTATCTTAGGGGTCCTCTAGTTGAGCAGCTCACTTTCGGATCCAGTGGGCAGGCTTAGGAAGGCCAAGGGACCATCTCTCTCTCGCAGGGTTGGGGAGCAGGGGGTGGTGAGGGGACCCTAACTCACTTCTCTTCTTGCTACACGGAACCGCTATTCCCGGAAGGTCAGCTTTTCCTCTTTGTTATGGTTCCTGCATAATAAAAAGGCCATGCTCTGCAGCTGCACATTCTATAAATAAAGTTTTATTGAAACACACCCACGCGCTGACAGGGCAGTTCAGTAGTTGCCACAGAGAGCATAAGACCCACAAGCCAACATACTTGCTGCCTGTTCCTTCATAGAAGAGCTTACAGGCCTCATCGGAAACATGGCTGTTTACTTGGCGGGGGCTTGTATGGCTTCCTGGGGTGGCTGAACAACGTACCCTAACCTGGATGACCTAGAGCAACAGATGTTTACTTTCTCAAGCTCTGGAGGCCTCAGGTGAATGCAAGGCGTGGGCAGGCTGGTTCCTTCTAGAGGCTCCGTGGGAATCTGACTGAACTCAGGCCGCAGTGTCTGGCCAGAGCGTGCCAGTGCTGAGACTTCACCCCTGTGCTACCAGGGAGCCCCCGCCCATGTATGTTAAAGCTACATCCATGTTGGATGGACCTAGAGGGAATTATGCTCAGTGATTGGAGTTTGAACATTCATTTGTGGTATGTGATCTAAATTAAACAAAACTAAACCTGTAGACAAGACCAAGACCAATTCGCGGTCACTGGGAGAAAGGGGGGAGCAGGGTCCCTTGTGAGCGTGTACACGCGTGGGTTTTCAGTGATGCACGCCTGAAGCCCAGCCAGCGACATCACCCGAGCTGCTGAGTCAGGGAGCCGTTCGCGCTGCTGGCGGAGACGGGCTTCTTCATTTCTGCGGCTTCAGAAAAGACCCTGGACTGCTAAGTCTGTTTGTGCACCATAACAGAAGACTTCACCTTGGTGCTTGCAAAGAACAGAAACGCTGTGCCTGCAGCCTGGAAGCCCGGGATCAAGGCGTCGTGGGCCTGAAGGTCTGGGCAGGAGCTTCTTCGTGCTTGTGCCAGGCATCTTCTCACGGTGGCCTCGCGAGTGGAAGGATGAGGGAGGAGGGCCAGTCTTTTTTTCTACAGACATCCACCCCCCTGGGGAGCCTCCAGAGGCCTTTCACCTGGGCACCTCCACCTCCTTCTTCCCTCATCTTTGGGGGGAGTTAGGGTTTCAACGTATCCATTTTGGGGAACCAAGTACCCAGACCATAGCACTGCTACCCACAGTGCCTATCAGGCCCGTTGCTGACCAGCAAAGTCCCCTTGGCCCAGAAGCAGGAATGGGGCAGCTGGTCTACCAGCATGCACAGCTGTGATAGAGAATACAAAGTGCTTTGTTTTTTTAAAAAATATTTATTTATTTACACATACAAGAACTGGGATATGGCCAGAGGTGCAGGGGGTGAGAGGATTCCCCAGAGACAGAGCGGGGAGCAGAACAGGCAGGTGGACAAAGTACACTACGGAGGGGAGCAGCAGGGGACTGGAGGGGTCTGCTGTTCCCTGGGAGTCACTCCCTGGCGGGGGATCGAACTCGTGCTGCAGTGACCACTAGAGTTCATAGTGTCCGCTTGAACCCCTGCCCCACCAGGGGGCCCAGATAATACAGTGTTCGACAAACACTCGCAGCCCTGTGGGCAGAGGTGCGGGTGTTCGGCACCTCAGTCCTCAGCTGCCTGGACTGACCTGTGTTTCTGTGACTCCCCCTCCTCTCCCTAAGTCCTTACGCATCTGTTGGGTTTATGGTATTTCATCTGTGGATCTTCATCCCACTCCACAAATTAGACCTTTCTATTTATTGTTTTGACAGTTTCGTGTGTTTACATTTTGATTTACCCACACATCTGTTCGTACTATTGTCGGTAATTCCTTCCTTCTTAGAAAAGTTACCTGGGATCATTGATCTCCTATAAAAGAGTCCTTTTTGAGCATGCTGGAATTATTTTATTTGCAGCCGACTTCTGTGCTGCAGTCGCTGTCAACCTAGTCCCCACTCTGCTCCCAGGAGGCCGCCTTCCTCGGCTCCCCTCTTCCTCCCTCTCCCGTCCCCCCGCCCTGCTTTCTTCACTTTGTCCGTTTTCCCTGACTGCTTTTAATGAAACCTCTCTAGGACACGGTTAGGTGTAGAGTCCTTTTCATTTATTCAGTTTGGCATTATCTGGCTGTCGTGAGTCAGATATCAGTATCTTTCAACAAATCTAAAAATTTTCAGCCATAAATAAGCTGGACTCTGGCTCCCACTCGGTCTCTGTTGTTGCAAAGGAAGGTGTTTGTGAGAACTTTTCTGGTTTCCCTAGACTATTTCTTCCCCCCTTTTCCATCTCTTTGTCCTTCTCTAAGTAATATCTCTGGCTGAATCTTCCAGTCAGCTAATTTTCTCTTCCGATGTGTCTGATTAACAAATCCTCACATTTTAGGCTTTTGAATTTAGTTACGGCATTTCAATTCTTAGGTGGACTTTTTAGTCCTTTTCCAAATTTGCTTGATTTTTTGGGGTCCAGTTTGTTCATGTTTTTCAAGCTTCTCTCTCATTTCTTCAACAATATTTAATGTAGATGCTGCATGTCTCCACGTGGGAATTCCAATGTCTGATTCGGATTTCTGACTCTGCCTTTTGTTACTTCTGCCGGCTTTCACTCAACTGTGCTTTATTTCCTTATTTAGTTTGTGATTTTTGACTCTGAACTGGATATTTTTTAGAGCTGAATGCGTGGGTTTCTTGGATGCCTGGAACTAATTTTTGCTAGTTTCCTGGGAGCTCTGGCGAAGACAGAACCCTTTTAAATCAAGAACCCCTGCGGAGGTTTCCTGGATCACACATGCGGGAATTGGGACTGTGAACTCCCATGAGCTGTGCCTGGTGACTATGAATTCTCAGGGGGAAGGTCTTCCCCTCCCCTGAGCACCCAAGTTGAATCGGGCGTTTCTGCTCTTCATGGCTCGGCTGTTTCCATTTACTCTCCGCTGCAGGCAGAGCGCGCTGGGGTGCTGGAGTGCATGTGAGTGCACGTGTGAGCAAGTGTGTGCACAGGTGTGCTCGCTGCCTTGTGATTGGTGGAAGCGAAAGCTCAGTGGAATCTTTGCTCCTCGGTGTCTTAACAGTGGGGTTAGTCTTCCGACACAAGTTGAGGTGTGTATTCTCTTGTGTCACAGGCTGACTGATGGCCGGATAGGTACCAAGACCAACTTAGGTAACTACACAGGCTCGCAAGTATGCATTAGGTTTAAACGTTCTTTTTCTTTGCTTCAAGGATTTCGATTCTTTCTTCTCTGCAAAAGAAGAGAATATTATTTACTCGTTCCTTGGCTTGGCTCCCCCTCCAGGCTCAAAGGTAAGCTGAAACTCCATGGGGCCAGGAATACTGGTAGTGACAGCCCCGACTGTTAAGACATGATGCTATTTAAGTTAACACGGTTTTAATATATTTATTATTCTGATGAAGCCTTGTGTATTGAGAGAATGCAAGATTTTTACTAAGACATGTTCCAAATTTCTGCTTTCCTTGCACTCCCAAGATTTATTGATTGATTGATTGATTGATTTACTTATTTAGGCATAGAAGAACTGGGGTATAGTGCAGAGGTGTGGGGGAAGAGGGTGGAAGGATTCACCAGAGACAAGATGTGGAGCGAGTGAGACGGGAGAGGTCTGCTGCACCGTATGTGATTCAGCCCCCTGGTCGGGGTTCCAACTCAGGCCACAGCCGAGAACGTGCTGAGACTTAAACCCTATGCCACCAGGGAGGCTCCCCAAACTCTTCATAATTTTGCTACGATAACACCCTAGTACAGTAAGTTTTATAATACCTGAGTATTATAAAAGTACTCAGTAACCTTAAATACATTGACTAAATGTGTGAGAACATAAGTTCCATGGTTGAGCTTATCAAATTATTTTGTCATGAAATTGGCTTTTTTGTGGCTTATGTATATGGTTAATTTTACAGTGAAATATACTTATATCAACTGTATTTAAAATATATATTGTTTTGTCTGATAAAGTGGGAGAGAGTAAGATCTAGATTCAAGAATAAAATAAATTTCTTCAGATTCTTTCCTCTGGTGCCATTTCCTCTTGGGTCATGTGTGTGACTATGTCAGTTCAGTAGAGAATTCTGCCAGTGCAGCAATCGTGAGTGAGCCTCTGGCTGTCACGGAGTCTGTGCGGCGGCTACGTAGCCCGGCCTCTTTGAGAACCTTGTCAGGACTTCACAGGTGCAAGCGCACATTGTTTGATCCAGTTACTTCTTACTTCATTTCCCCCCTGCTTGTGTTCACAGAGACTGAATCTGGATCGAGTTTCACTGTAGGTGTCATTGTCTCCAGGTGGTGCCACCTGAGGTCTCACATGCCAGGTGAGCACCTGAGGTGTGGCCCTGGCTCCTTCTTCAAGTGACAACACTTGGCCCTGGCAGTTAGTTTATAGCTCTCCAGGAGGAAAAACCTACCCCCAGCCTTTTTTTTTTTCTTTGCATTTGCCTTAGTCTTTTTTTTAAAATTATTATTAATAATATAATAGTTTATTTTTACACCATTTTGTGCCTTTTCCCATCTCAGTTGTAATCCCTGTGGGCTTGCCACCACCAAGTCACCCGTGTGCCATCACCTTAGTCCAGTGCATTTCCCTCCCCCCACCGTTTTTTGACAGAAGCTATGCAACTTCTGTCAACTGACAAATTCCGATGGAAGGGAGAAGCTCTGAAAAATCAGAAATCCCATTGCTAACTTATGTTACGACCTCCTTTTTTGGTATAATCATAATATCAAAAATATTCTGAGCAACTGGATTGCCTGAGCTTCATAAATTGGCTACCTGGAGGGGCAAAGTAAGAGCTACCCCAGGGCAGGAAATTCCTCTGTGTCCAGAGACGAAATGTAAGCTCCTGGAGAGATAAGACCCCCAAAGCATCCAGTCTCCTGGGAAGTTTCCTCAGTCTTTTGAAACAAAAAGCAAACCTTTGATAAAACTCCCAGGCATAAAGACTCATGGACAATTTCTTAACATATTGACACAGGTTTTGCTTAATGCATAACTATGTGACTTCCTCTTAATTTACCCTTTTCTTAAACAATCAGTAACTACTCTCTGCTGGTCTAAATTTACCTTAATTAAACAAACACTAGCTACTCTCTGCTAGCCTTAGCTTTTCTTTAGACTATCACTGATACTCTGCTAACACAATTTATTCCTTCCTAGGACCCCTAAATCCTTTGCTGACAGCTCATTCTTTCCCAGACCCCTTATCCCTTTGAAGTCATAGTTAAACATCTGTATATATGAAAGTTATCACAAAGATGTATAGTATAGCGTGCCATAAAGTAGCAGGAGGAGAATGCATTGTTCCCCTCTTCCTTTAGAACTTTTATGCTGATTTCTTATTAACTTACCTGATGCATTATTGTAACTAACTCTTGCTAAACAGTATAAATAAAGACCTGCTAAAAGATGAACAGGAAGACTTGCACCCAACTCCGATTCTCCTGTCTTCCTCACGCCTGCTCCCCTCTCCTCTTGAAATCTCCACTTGCCGAGGCTGCCTTCCCACCTCAAGGCCCTGCCCTCTGACAACCTGTGGTCGGGACCAGTCCCTGACAGTTTTTGATCCCATTCCCCACTCCACCCTTGTAAAATGTCTCTGGTATATAGTTATTCATTATTATTATTATTTTCTCCCTTAGTTCTTTATACTCCTGCTATAAGTGAAACCATCCAGTATTTTTCCTTTTTTTT